ATATATCACTCTCCTGAAAGCCCGACATGATTGGCTTAACCTGCGGTTGCAGGATTTTAAAACTGTTACGGAGTACAACTCTGTTATCCTTCAGATTACATCTCAGTTGAAACTTTGCGGAGAAATTGTTATTGAGAATGATAAATTGGAAAAGACTCCCTCTACCTTTCATGCTTCGAATGTTGTGTTGCAACAACAGTATCGTGAGAAAAATTTTCAAAAGTACTCATAACTCATTACATGTCTTTTATTAGCTGAACAAAATAATGAGCTAGTGATGAAAAATCATCAGTCCCGGCCCACTAGTTCCAATCCGTTTCCTGAAGCGAACGTGACATTTTCTGAACGAGGCCGAGGACGTGGTAGAGGCGGTGGACATGGTCGTAGTCATGAGAGTCAACACGGTCGATATACTCCTTACAATCACCATAGTCTTGACATTAACAAGAAGCAGAGTAAACCCCAATATGGGGATATAGCCGAAAAGACTAAACAGGGAAAGAGGCAAATCGACATTTGTAATCGGTGTGGCATTGAAGGCCATTGGGCCAATACCTGCAGAACAGTCAAACACCTAGCCGATCTTTATCAAGCCCCACTACAGAAAAAGAGGAAAAAGGTCGAGACTAATCACGTTGATAACGATGACGACCCTGATGATGATCTTCTGGATTACGACACAAAGCATCTTGATATAGCAGATTTTGTCGTAGATCCAACAAACCCCAGTGACAGACATACTATGTCATTTTATATTTTGTAATATTTAAATTATCACATGTTATCTTTTTGTAATGCATTTTGTAATACATAAATCTGCCTTTATTAATGCTGCGTTTATTTATATTTGAAGGTTAAATGGATGCCAATCAAAATGATGCAAATATATGTTTCATTGACAGTGCAACGACACATACTATATTGAAACACGAAAAATATTTCTCCTATTTGAAAAAGGAAAGAATGAATGTCAATACAATAAGTGACAATGCAAAATTAATTGAAGGCTCTGAAGAAGCTATTATATTTCTCCCCGCGGGGACGAAAATTGTAATACAGTATGCACTGTTGGCCACTAAAGCTCGAAAAAATTTACTGAGCTTTCATGACATTAAAAAAAATGGTTATCACATTGAAACTATGAGTGATACTGATGGTGAATTTTTATTGATCACCAATATCATTGATAAAATGAAATGCATCATTGAGAGATTACCCTCACTCTCTACTGGTTTATATTATGCCAGATTAGGTGTTGTTGAAACACACCTCACGGTAAATAAAAAGATTACCGATTTTCAAATATGTCATGATCGCCTTAGGCATCTTGACAGTATAATGATGAGACGAATAATTGAGAATTCACATGGCTATTCATTAAAAGGTCAAAAAGTGTTAAACTCAAATGATTTAACATGTGTTGCCTGCACTCAGGGAAAATTAATAACTAAGCCATCGTAAGCTAAAGTAGGTATTGAATCACCTACATTTTTGGAAAGAGTACACGGGGATATTTGTGGACCAATAGACCCACCGTGTGGGCCATTTAAATCTTTTATGGTGTTTATTGATGCATCTACGAGATGGTCCCATGTATGTTTATTATCTACTCGCAATGTGGCATTTGCGAGATTGCTTGCCCAAATTATTAAATTACAGGCACAATTCCCCGATAATCCAATTAAGACTATACGTTTGGATAATGCTGGTGAATATACATCGAATGCATTTGATGATTATTGCATTTCGATTGGAATTAATGTAGAGCACCCAGTTGTTCATGTTCATACACAAAATGACATGACAGAATCATTTATTAAAAGATTGCAATTGATTTCTATAGCATTACTGATGAGGTCTATGCTGCCCGTTTTTGCTTGGGCAATGTAATCTTACATGCAGGAACACTCATAAGAATGAGGCTGACAAGCTATCATAGCTATTCCCCTATGCAATTAGTTTTTGGTCACTAACCAAATATATTTCATTTACGTATTTTTGGGTGTGCTGTTTATGTTCCTATTCCACCCCCCAAACGTACAAAAATGGGTCATCAACGTAGATTGGACATTATATCGGATATGAATCGCCGCCAATTATAAAATATCTTGAACCTATGACGAGTGATTTATTCACTGCAAGATTTGCAAATTGTCATTTTGATGAATCCTATTTTCCGACATTAGGGGGAGACAGAAATGAACCAAAAAGGAATATTGATTGGAAAATCCCATTGAATTTTTGTGATCCTCGTACAAAGCAGTGTGAACTAGAAGTTCAACGCATTATACATTTGTAAATATTGCAAATTAATTACCGGATGCATTCAATGACTCGAGTAAAGTCACCCGATCATATATTCAAGCTGCTAATGCTCCGACTAAAATAATTGTCCCTGATGGACAAATTGGAAGTGCTAATGAATCGGCGACACGCTTGAAGCTTGGTAGACCACTTGGTTCCAAAAATAAACATCCTCGAAAAAAAAGATGAATTCATGATAATCATGAAAATATCAGGAATGACATTGATAAACTTCAATCTAATGAGGAAGTCAATCCTGAAATAATTGCTCCAGAAGAGCATGATCTTGAAGAACATGATGAGATTATTGAAAACTCAATTAACTATGTTACTTCAAGAAAATATTGGAACCGTAAAGAGGCAATTATTGATAATGCCTTCGCATACAATTTAGCACTTGATAAAATGGAAGAAAACGAGGATCCAGAGCCAAAATCAGTTCATGAATGTTGGCAAAGAAATGACTGGCCAAAATGGGAAAATGTGATTCAATCAGAGCTTGACTCATTAAACAAAAGACAAGTCTTCGGACCAATTGTTCAAACACCAGATGGTATAAAACCAGTTGGATACAAATGGGTGTTTGTACGAAAAAAAAATGAGCATAATGAAATTGTGAGATATAAACCCCGTCTTGTAGCTCAGAGATTCTCACAAAGGCCTGGAGTAGGTTTTGGTGAAACATACTCTCAAGTTGTTTATGGAATAACTTTTAGATACCTTGTGAGCCTAGCAGTGCGTGAAAAGCTCGATATGCGTCTTTTATACGTAGTTACTGCATATCTTTATAGCTCATTGGATATTGATATTTATATGAAAGTTCCTGAGGGATTCAATATGCTTGAAGCATACAAATTAAACCCAAGGGAATCATATTCCATCAAATTGAAAAGGTCTTTGTATGGACTTAAACAATCAGGGCGAATGTGGCATAACCGTCTTAGTGAATACTTAAAAAAAGAAGGTTATATTAATGATCCAATATGCCCATGCGTCTTCATCAAGAAAAATGGATCAAAATTTGTCATTATTGCAATATACGTTGATGGTCTCAATTTAATTGGAACTTCAGAAGAGATCCAAATTGCAGTTGAATATCTAAAGAAAAAATTTGAGATCAAAGACTTTGGAAGGAAAAAATATTGTCTGGGATTACAAGTGGATCATGTTAATAATGGATTATTTATCCATCAGTTTACATATACCTAAAATGTATTAAAACAATTTTATATGGATAAATCTTACTCTCTGAGTATACCAATGGTGGTCAGATCCCTTGATCCTAGTAAAGATCCATTTAGGCCAATAGAAGAAAATGAATAAATACTTGGGCCCGAGGTACCATATCTCAGCGCTATTGGCGCATTAATGTACCTTGCAAATTGTACCAGACCAGATATATCTTTTTCAGTGAATCTATTGGCCAGGTTTAACAAATCCCCCACAAAGCGCAATTAGAATGGTATCAAACACATTTTTCGTTATCTTCAGGGGACTCATGACCTCGGTTTATTTTATTCGAGTGAATCTAAAAATGAATTAATTGGTTATGTTGATGCTGGTTATCTGTCTGATCCACATAAAACAAAATCTCAAACTGGCTATTTATTTACTTGTGGTGGAACCACAATCTCTTGGAGATCTACTAAACAGACAATAACAACTTCTTCAAACCACGTTGAGGTTTTAGCAATTCACGAAGCCAATCGTGAATGCGTTTGATTGAGGTCTATGATTCACCATATTCAGAAAAATTGTGGCTTGATTTTTGATGATGTATTACCTCCTACAATATTATTCAAAGATAATGCAGCTTGTATAGCTCAATTAAAAGGGGGATATGTTAAAGGCAATCGGACAAAGCACATATCTCCGAAGTTCTTTTTCACTCACGATCTTCAGAAAAACGGTGAAATTAATGTGCAACAAATTCGATCATTTAAAAATTTTGCAGATTTATTTACGAAGGCGCTACCGATTGCAACATTTAACAAACTGGTGCAAGGAATTGACATGCATCGGATAAAAGATATCAAATAAAGTCTAAAATAGGGAGAGCGCAAAAAATGATGTACTCTTTTTTCTTCACTATGATTTTTTCCCATAGAATTTTTTCATAGTAAAATTTTAATGAGTCACATTCGTTTTATAAAAACATTCGAAGGGGAGTGTTACACACGTATTCACTATGCAACCCTCATGTATTGAATTCGTAGGACGAGTATAGGCTGAGGTGTGAATGTTTTTAATTGGTTAGAAATGCATATATATATATATATATATATATAAAACTAAATTTGATGAAACAAGACACAACATTTCACCAACGAAACATTTGTTAATTTGTTTCATTCCATTTCTCTCTCTATAGACCACGTGTATATACATATATATATATATTTATATATACATATATACATATTCCTACACAAATATATATATATACATACGTAGCCGTATACCTATATATATTTATATTCTTACTGAATAGTGTTATATTATTATTTATATAACAATATTAATATAAAACTGTTTTCATATAAATACCAAAAAATGATTGGCATGGGCTTTTTGGGCCTTATTGGCTTCCACTACAACCAATAAACATTTACACCCAATATGGTATGGATCCCTCCGTCGAATCATTGAATTTGACACGTCAGATACCACCGCAGGCACAGTCATAAGTCATAACCCCGCCAGCCCTGTCTGTGGCCGTTGCCTATAGAAATTATATGTTCACATCCAGGCTTCCAGCGTCATCATCGCAATCACTTCACAGATCGCCTCCCGCAAGAGCCCGCAGGGAAGGAAGGAGTCACCCAAGGTTGCATCAGTGCGGTCCCATATAGGTTCTTACGGGACCCCCACCGGCCGCGCCCTCTCCGTCGTTCCCCGAAACCCTCCTTCCTTCCGGTTAGGTTACTTCCTCTACACGTTCTCATATTCTTGTCTTTTTCTTCTCTGGAAGTGTAATTTCCTTTGATAGATTTATTGTTCTCTTATCGCTTCAGAACTCCCTTAATACAAATCATCATCTATAACTGTACTTTAGTCGGTATTGCCTCGCTTCAGTTTTAGGGTTTTACTTCCAGCTTTTAAATCTTTCTAATTATAACATGTGCTGCTGATGCGCTCAACCACTGGCCATGTATTCTGTCAAAGACAGCAGTTTTTTCTTGCTTACTGCCCGGTTCTATTTTTCCGTTTCTACAATTTGTACTCAGAAATGCCACTAGACAAAATATGGAGTTCTATTAGCGTGAATTGTCGCGAAACCCAGGATTGTACCTTTTTTTACATGCTTCTATGATTATTAGTTTGCTTATTTATCAATCTTTAAATTTTGGAGTGGCAGAAGGTGTTCTCTACTGTTTTATGAAACCAACTGACGATCTGTACTCCATGGGCATAAAAACAGTACCACCCATCATGTGTAAAATTCATCTTTGATTCTACACACCCCTGTGTATCTGATTGCTCTTAAGATATCTGTGGGAACACCTTATCTATTCCCTCTCAAAAACTTCACCCACTAAACTGTTACGCAAGATGTAAGGGGAAGCATAGATTTGTTAAGCTTAATATTCTTTGCTTATGTGAAATTCTTACATTTGCAAAACATACAATCATAATCCTGGGATAAATGTAATTTACACTACAGTTTTTCTGTGCCACTTTCTATATGTGATTTTATAATTGTCTTTCATAATTGTTAATTATACTGTCTTCTCTTAAAGACTAATTATTCGTTTCAGTTTTTAGAATCCTAGAATACGATGGGAAGTACAGGTGGAGAAGGCATAAAGATGCCTGCAGGTGATGCTGCTGAATGTTCTAATAATACTACTGTTGAGATAAAAATCAAGACTCTGGACTCTCAAACTTTCACATTGCGAGTGGATAAATGCGTAATGTGTTTCTCTTCTAATTTTATGCATTTCTCTTCTAATTTTATGCATTGTGAATTGCTTATTGCATATTATTCTTTGTTTTTCTAGGTTTATTTAACCAATGTCAACATTCATACATTAATATTCCAAGCTTGATTGTTATGATACTTCCTCGACCACTTTATGACAGGTCAATCTTAAGATAAGATCATAGCTTACTCCTCATTAGCTCATATAAATCTGGTGACTAGTGGTATGTTTAGTTGGGTGGTGGTCATTAAGTCACCTATTTTGAGTTATGGACGCACATATTAACCTAATGCTAGTTATTATACAGTAGCTGTTATGGAAGAGCAAGGTATTCATTGCCTTCACCCTCACATTTTTAAGTTTTATGTCAGCTCAATGAAATGTTTATTTACCCCAGGACCTGATAACCGTTCTCTCGGTAAAGTGCTTACAGTATACTAAGGGTGTGTTCGTTTGTAGGATTTTGATAAAATCCTACTATTCATCCAAAATTTTCCCCCAAAAAACATCAAATCAAACACCTGTTTTTCATTTTTTATATTATACTAAAAATCAATTTTACATTCAAAACATCACATCAACACCTATTTATATGACATCATACAACTATTAAAATTCAAAATCTTTACTATTCAAATCTCAACTCAAAATCCAAACCCCCAAACAAACACACCCTAAATGCATTTTGCATTTTTTTGATTCACAAAATCACTATGGAATTTAATTATGACATGGTTTTCTTATGAATGATGGACTAATTGTGGGAGAGGCTGCAAGGGAAGTGAGGAGTTAATTTCTCAATAGCAGAGCTGCTCATATGTATTTATATCTAAACTTACTGGCAGTGTAATGATGCTTTTGAATTGAGGAAGGGTTGCAGCTGGTGTAGTATGGAAAGAATTGGAGAGGGAGTGCTAGGGTGCCTCTAGGGATGGAAATAGGCCAGGCGGCCAGGGCCTACAACCTGGCATGCATAAGGCCTGATTTGGTCTAGCCTGTTTATTAACAATGTTAAATTCAGATATATTTTTAAGCTTTCTTTAAATAAATAGAACAGGCTTAGTGTGAGACCTGCATGTTTATATATTTATATAGTATATTCTTTTATCTAATATATACAAATATTATATTTTTAATTGTTTATATAATTCATAAAAAAATTATATTTGGTGACAACTGGCAATAAAAAATAAATTTTAACTGACTTATTATATATAATAAATAATTGTATATATTTTTCTACAAATATTAAGTTTGAAAATTAAAAAAGTAAAATTTTATACAGGTCATTAAATGGGCTCGTAGGCCAAACCATACTTTAAAGTAGGCCAGGCCTAAGCCTTAGATATATATTTTAATAGGCCAATAGGCCAAGCTGAGGCTTTAATTTTATAAAATAGGCCTGTCCTATGTAGCCAAAGCCTGACTTGGCCTATTTCCACCCGTAGGTGCCCCCCACCCTTCTTTTCTTCTAATTAAAACATAGTAACACTTTACTGGATAGAGGAACAAGAGAACTTGTTCTTTTTCGTCTTAGTAGTTACAGATACTAGAACATTAGTGACAAGTTAGCACAGTCTAGATATGAATCTACCATAGCATTTTCCGTTTTTAGTTTCAGATGGTTTTCTTCTTTCTTTTTGCAATTCAGGTGCCTGTTCCCGAGCTGAAGGAACAAATTGCCTCTGTAACTGGCGTTCTCTCAGAGCAACAACGTCTTATATGCCGTGGAAAAGTTTTGAAGGATGACCAATGCCTTTCAGCTTATCGTATCCTTTGAATCTATGACCCAGATTTGATTGCTTTATGATACATGACACTGAACAATTATAGCGTCATCAATCTTCAGTCTACATTACCTGCTTTGCGTTATAGTAAGGGCCTATTGCAGTTATCTTGTCATTTTTATTTTTCTCAGGACTCATATTTCTCTTTTGGCATTTCCAAAAATAATCTATCTTTTGAAGTGAAGGTTTTTGTGTGGGGATAAGCACTCTTTGGTGGAATTTTTCCAAACATTGCTTTGCCATTTTTTGTCATATTTATGAGTTCTAATGATTTCGCAGACTTCTTAGCTAAATAGGTTTCAGAGGTAGCGAAGAGCCCTCTGTCTGGCCATAGTTAACTGTATAATTGTGGCTCTTTCCTTGTTGGAAAAAGGCTATGAGTTCTGAAGTAAATACATTACTTTTCTCTTCGAAAAAAGAACAGACATCTTAATCTCATAGAACTGAATTAGGTTGTGGCTCCAAACCATTTCAGGAACAAGGAATTAAGATCTCTCTGTGAAATGAATGGATAGTGTTTCATTTATAGAATACTACTACAGTTGTAAAGTAAAACATAAAACCACATTTAAGTCAGTTAAAAGTTTTCTAACAAGTGATGTCTCTTTCCTTTCTAAAAAAGGTTTGATCTCATTAAGTTTATTAGTACATCATATCCTATATTATAAGATATATTATTCCACTAAAAAGGACATTTAGATGAGTGAATGAAAGGCTTTATGAAGAGGCAATGGAATGCATTCAAGAATTTTTGAATAAATATCTATGCGGGGTACTGATATAGAGGCAATTTCCTTGATTGTTTTTTAAAAGGCATGGTGCTGGGTTTCTCTTCGGTTTATTTGGTAATAGTCTTAGTATTAGAAAATTGGAAGCTTCTTCTTTTTTTTCTTTTCTTTTCCTTTTTTACCCTTCAGAAATCAGAATGACAAAATTGATAGGCAGAATGTATCCTGTGGCTGAATTTCATTCAGATACTCACAACTCTTTCATATTCTAGTATTTGCATGATCTAATTATTGCACATGATAGCATGAATCTGGGTTATAATTTATTGTGTTCTGGATGCCTGCTAGGTTCCTGATACATTTGTGTTATATGCATCATATGTTTACGTAGCATCAAATTTTAACTGAATGTATTGGACCTTCTCAGCTGTATTATGATAGAAAACAAATATAGACAAATGATTTAAATTCAAATTTACTTGAGTAGAATATAGTGCACACCTACTAGGCTACTATATTGACTCCTGCCTAGCCAAAATCTGATTGTTAATCTGGAAACTGAATACATAACCGACAAGTATGTGCTATAGTTCCGTATTTAACTGTCTGGGCTCACAATTGGAATGGTCCAACACTAACAAGCAGAATCAACACTGGCCCACATCACGTTTGCAATATGGCTGGGCTCATTTGGTGGGTATAAGATTTGGAAGAGCTGCAATGCTGTGAGGATGGATAATTGGCATTGCGGTTCTTTTGTTTGGTGCCTTAATATGTATTGTAGATGTGGAAGATGGTCACACCCTACACCTGGTTGTGAGACAACCTGTTGCTTCATCACCAAACCTGCCTGATAATGCAGGTTTGATTCAGTTTCTGATTATCTTTACTTTAGATATGATTGTAAAGTGTCCTGTTTTGATGGCTGCTATTGAGTTTCTTAATAAGTCATTAATTTCATCACCTGTGCTGATGTGTCCAAAACCTTTTGACTTGCTTTCAATATATAAACTCAACACTCAACAGGCCATTGTGAATGTGATGCTTGAATAATGAATACCTATTTATCATTGGAGAGAGAGGGGAGCTTTAGGGTTTGTTTGATCAATCTTCTAAAAGGTGTTTTAACACTTTAACTTATAATAATTGGATCAGATAGGAAAACATACACCCTGTTCCTTTACTTGAAGACCAGTAATATTCTGGTTATAAATAGAACCACTGATTTATTTTCTTGGTGGGATATTTAAAATTTGAATAGGAATGTGGTTTTGGAAGGATCCATTTTTATTCATTTTGCTTGCTATGTTTACAAATTTAAGATTTGCCCTGTATTTCATGGTTGAGTAAGTAGTAATCCGAAAACCTATCTCTTTATCAGCAGACAGTAACCCATCATCAGGTACTAGGCACAATCAGAGTAGTCGAGCTGGCCCTGGTATGGTGGTTGGAACCTTCAATATATCAGAGCAGGGAGATGGAGCTTTTCCTGATCTTAATCGGGTAAATTTGGCATCTTCCAATGTTTATGTGGACTCAAGTAGATATCAATGATTTGTGGTTGGTTGTCTTTTAGATTGTTTCTGCTCTGCTGGGTTCTTTTGGAGTTACAAGACTTGGAAGTGGCAGTGAAGGAATTGATCTTAATGTAAGTTTTGTGATGGCTTGGCTAGAAACATTCTGAAAACATTTGGAAAATCATGCACATTGTCCATAGTATTACTTTGTGGAAGAATTAGCACATATAATTATTCAGTGCCCATATTAACCTTTTTGCATACTTATTAAGCTTTAAGAGCAGTACATCATGCTCATTATATTGTTGTTGGCATTATTTGATGAAAAATCATCTTACAGCTCGTGCTAATCATAGAATATATATTGAAAGGATAAAGCAAGTGGGTTATGTGCTGATACATACAGATTAACAAAGTAATTATTCAAACATTGTCATACAATCAGCATATAGGTTGGAATTTGGTGGAAACAACTTGGAAGATAAACTTGTTCAACTCTACTTCATCAGTTATAGAACAACAATACAATTATGAACTTCATTTTAAAGCATATTCTGTGTAACATTCATTGAAAATTTGAAATCACCTCGAATTTTTGATTATGTTTCTACACTTTATTCTCTAACATATATAATCATGCATTGTCTGAAACTGTGCGAAGTAATGAAATAAGGATATGAAGTTACCATGAATTGTTTTGTTTCTATCTTTTCACTTCTTTGTCACCATATTCACAGGCTATATTAGAAGTGTAGAACGATTTGAAAAATAAAAAGTTTCAACTTTGCTGAGCTCAGCATCCAATCAACCTATCTACATGGACAGACCAACATGCTAGAGATTTTTCATGAAGCCAAATTATAGTACCAGCACCTGTTCCAGTATATTATTTGTAGAATTTTAAAGAAAGAAAATGATATGTTCTATAAGATATCAGCTATAACATTTCAACTGTGGAGTTTGTAAACAAAAAAAAAAAAAAAATATTCAGTTTTGCCAAGTACTTGCACATGGAGCTAACTTAATTCCTCTACTCAAAAGGTAGATTCCCATTTTATGGTTTTCCTTTTTCCTGGCCAGCAACCTCCTGCAGAACGATTATTGGCTTCACCTGCCTTAGGTGGTGCGAGATATGCAAGTAGACCGCAAACTGACCAAGTCACTTCGCTGCCTCTTCCTGTGGAATCCATGCAGCCACCGGTAGCCTTTGAGTTTATTATTTGTAGTCCATGCAAAAAGACAAACAGGAACCAATTCGAGCACTTTTCATGAAAGAATATGCAACTTTTTATATCCCTAAAATATATTTTTTCTTTCTTACCTGGCTGAAATTTTTTCTAACTGATGTGATACCAAAGTCATTATTTTGTTGCAGATTATCCCTGATTCATTGACTACGTTATTACAATACCTGGGTCATCTAAGACAAGAATTTATCACCAATGGTAGAGCTGTTCATTTCATTTCGACTTGTCTAATTCTGTTTAGGGTCCTATGTTTTTGGCTTAAGCTTGTTATTGGACTGCCCAGTTGGAGGACAGAATGTTAGCGTCCAAAATGGTGTTCTTCCTGGGAGTGGTGCGAATGATACAGAAGCTACTGTACATTCCAGTGGAGTGAGAGGGCTCCTAACTCCCGAGTCCTTGGCTGAGGTGATGTCATGCGCCAGACAACTGCTTGGTGAACAAGCAACTGGTTGCTTAACGGTATGTGCTCTAACTATGTAGCTGTTTCTGAGAGGAGTACAAATCACATTGTATCTACTAGATTAGAGAAGATCAGAATTAGCTGGTTAAAGTAGCGGTATGGCATTCATGATATCAGTGCATTCTGCGCTGATGTTTCCCTCGGAATCTCAGTCTATTTGAAGCTAAGTTTAAGCTGAGCAGTGCCTACGTTGTGCATATATTAGTAGTATTGTGTGTTCTGGTAGGGAAATTGTGTCGATCACCTAATTCTAAATTGAGATGTTTTGGCTAGTAAGATGATAGATCAGTTTGATATGTTTAACATTGTAATTTCTTTGACTTAAGGAGATTAGGTCTCTGCGAACATCATAAGGGATAAATGGTTATGCTTTATACTACTGCTGTGTGTGCAGGCTTGTGGTATAGAATTTCGTTGTGTTGTGAGCTACGAACATATTATTGCCTTCCGAGGATATGTGCTACTGACTTAATTTTTTAATGTAGCAACTGGCAGGACAGCTGGAATCTCATTCGAGTGTGGTGGATCCTTTGGAGAGGTCAAGAATTCAATCTAATGCCCTAAGATCAGGAACTCTTATCCAAAAGTTAGGATCTATGCTGCTTGAGCTTGGTAGAGCCATAATGACACTGAGAATGGGTCAAGCCCCTGTATGTTATTTCATTAGTAATTTGCACTGCATATTGCACTCCTGCAGCATAGGAAATAAATTACTTATAACAAAAAAATTGTAGAATGATTTTGGTTTCATTGGTTCTTTAGGCTGATGCATTGGTGAATGCTGGACCCTCTGTTTTTGTATCCTCAGCAGGACCCAATCCAATCATGGTTCCGGTGCTATTTTTGTTTAATGTATCAGTTTCCTTTCGGTTATGGCATTCAGACTTACTCCACGCGTATATGTAATATGTATATATATATTTATATATACCTTGGACAGCCACTGCCTCTCCACCCTGGAGCCAATTATGGTTCAGTACCTGTTGGAGCTGTTCAGCCCGGATCTGGTTTGACTGGAAGCTCTGCTGGTACTGGGTTTCTCCCGAGAAATATTGATATCCGGATACGTACAGGTGATTCCTTCGGATAAGCTTGTAAAACTAGGGCTCGATTTTTTTTATATAGTGCAGAGTTTCTGCTAAGAACATGGCTTGTTTATACTGGCATTTCAGTTAATGAAATGTAACTAATTTTATTCTTGAGTTCTTTGTTTTATTTGTGATAGGTTCATTGTTTACCCGAAGGGGAATTACTGGTTCACAGCCTCAAGAACAAGTTGGTCCGATGTCTTCCAACTCAATAAGTTCTGATCAACAAGATGCTGCATTGCCTGATTCAAATTCTCACATCAGGGAGCCACAATTGCAGGCTGTCCCTATTAGAACTGTAGTTGCTGCAGTTCCTGCATCTGGAAGACACGAATCAGATTCTTCTCGTGGTTCGATAGGGATTCTGTATCCAGTTCTGGCAAGAGTTCAAAATGTATCTCTCGGAAATTCTGTTGGTACTAGGGCTTCTCAAGCATCAGATCAACACCAAAATGATTCCAATGTTAATCCCGAACGAGTTATTTCTGATGCTGCAACACAACCGCAAAGCACTGCAGGGCCTCGTGGGAGTGGTAAAACTGCATTTCATCAAATTTGCCTGTTATGTTTGATTGTGCATGATATTTGCTATTTGAGATTATAATTAGCAACAAAAAGAAGGCATGCTTATTGAAATTTGTGCTTGTTTTTCACCGAGGACCTGAGCAAGGTGAATAAAGTTTATTCTCCTAATGCAATAATAATTGACCTTACTGACATTATTGTGCAGTAGATAGTTCTGGGTTATACTGTATTTACATTGAGAAGCATTATTTAATGCTTAACCAACACAAGTCACACAACAAAATATGACATGTGACATGATTAAAGAAAAACAATCACTGTTTCAGTACCTTTGCACATTTACATTGTGACCTTTTTTTTCATTTAATAATATTTTATAGTTATCTATTAATAACCGAGCCAGGTAAATATCTTCAAATTGAATTGGAAATTTGTTGTCATGGTAGTCCTTACGTTACAATTTGTATTACAAAGCTATATTGGGCAGAGGGGCATGACATATATATGCAATGCACATTTTATTATGATTAGGGGATAATTACTGTCAATCTGTGCAGGCTACAATGGCGTACCTATTGAAGCACTTAATGTGCAAGGATCTCCTGGTCAGAGCAGAAGTGGATTTGAGCAGCTGTTAACTACAATATTTCCACAGGAGAATGTCCTGAGTAATAATGCCAACACCTCAAGTTCAGGTTCTGGTCAAAGTCATACTGACTTACCAGCGGGTAATGGTAGTTCTCAGGCACCGTTATCAGCAGTGAGTGATCAAGGCCTCCTTCTATCTAATATACTACGGCAAATAATCCCCATGGTTTCTCAGAACAATGAAGCTCAGTTGGTGCCATCTGCTGAAGGAGCTAACTCAGACGAAACACAGGTAACGAGGTCATTCTGAGTTTCGAATCACATATTCTTGAAGGGGTTGTAGAATCAGCTAACATAATTTAGAACAGTGAGCTTGGCTTGCGTGTTTGATGCATTCGTCTTTAATTGGATTACAAATTTAAAGCTCATGCTGCAGGCTGCTGAAAATCCTCACCGGAGTTCTAACAGGCGAAGCCCTCAGCCACCGCCAAGTCCAAAACGTCGAAGAGTAAGAGATCTATTTTATTTGTTTATTACTCGTCATCCTTGTGATCTCCAGCATGTTTCTATCACACTAGCCATACAAACCACTCCAGTGCAGTGAGCAGGCAATGAATATTTGAACTTACAAGTAGGCTAGTGTAGTGTGGACTGTGGTCACTCACTGTATATGTTCAATTGGAGAGAAATTTTCCCGAGGTGCTGCCTGGTACAGAGCTTGAATATTACGTGGATGAAAATCCTATTTGAAGGCGACTATGTGTTGAGAGAAGATAAAAGATAGTGTGAGGGTGTTTGGTTAGAACCATAGGCACTTTAAAATACAGTTTTCTCCATCCGTGAACTGATGTTGATAATGTTGTTACAGCTGGAATAAGCGTCTGGCATGTGGAATTTTGGGGCAATGGTGTTGATTGGGAGAGGTGTGCATCAACTGTCTCAGAAGCCTGCAATTTGAAGAGATGATTGTGTCAGAGTCTTGGGAAGACACAACCTCACCCGATATAAATAATCCACATATATTATATATCATACAAGAGCTGCACAGAATGGAATGTATACAGCATCAATTTTGTTAATCTTCGTTTCATTTTTGCCATTTGTTCTTGGATGCTATTCTTTTTTCGAGCTTAGTGCATTTTGGATTCTAACATGTGATGTTGTAGCTTTTTTTTCTGGTTTCTGGTAGCCTCTTAGGTTTTTTTTTTTTGGTAGTCATATTATATCTTTTAATATTGTATATTATTTTATATGTATTTAGCTATACATAAATTATATTATATGTATTTTATAATTAATAATTAGTTATAATATTTTTAAACTTTATAATGCAATTAAATTATAAAACAAAATTTATATAAATTAAATTAAATTAAATTAATTTTATTTTAATTAATTAATTAAACCCAAGTTAAATTTTAGTTAATAAAATAAATTTATCTATTATATTTATTTAGCACTATAAATAATATTTATTTTGTAATTTATTTCACAGATAAATAAAATTTATATTAAAATAATTATTTTGTTATTAAATTATTCAATTTTTTATATATAATTTTTATGTTTATTTATATTTTATTTACATTATATAAATATATATATACTTATATTAAAATAAACTATGTCATTCTTATATATTATACTAATAAATTAATAAAATTTTATTAAATATTTTTATTTTTATTTATTTATACAAATGCCTTCAAATTCCCCCAATGTTAAGGAAAAACATATCTAAGTTTATATTCCTTCTCCTCCTCTCCCGTACCTTCATTTGAACCAAACTAACGTTTGCTATAGAAAATTTTTAGTTTGGTTATCTCTCTCCTTTTATAGTGTGTTTGAGATTTCTGGTTCTTTCTATTCCATGATTCGGCAGAGATCGCCGAGTTTCTCCCCTCTTAGCTATTTGTTCGGTGTAACGGTTTAATATCCGCCATTTACACACTTTAACACGTAGTAGTTGTTACTCCCTTCGTTCCACAATCATATCTTGTTGTTTCGGTTTTGACTCGACCGATACAGATCTGTATCGGCCGAGATTGAGGAGCCATGCCGGCACCGCAATCAGCAATGTTTATATGACCTTACGCACCTTTTTCCAACCCATAATCACGACAGATTCAAGACAGTTGCACCCTCTTCGTAGGAATAATGGAACCCGATGTGTGCATCGAAACCAGCAGTATGATCCGAGTGGCGGTCCTCCCGATCGCGTCCATTCCCCCGCTTCTCTTCCGGGACTATGCTGCGATGCTCCTTCGCCACGATACCGTATCCCTCAACGCCATCAGCTCGTTCTACACTGAACACCAGAAATCCCCTTTCGCCCACCAGCCATGGGAATCCGGCAGCCTACGCTTCAAGTTCATACTAGGTGGATCGCCGCCGTCTCCGTGGGAGGATTTTCAGTCACACCGCAAGATCCTCGCAGTTATTGGTATTTGCCATTGCCCTTCCTCTCCCGATCTTCGCTCCGTCGCAAATCAGTTTGCAACCGCTTGCAAGGGTTATTCGTCCTCACTCGTTCAGCGCTGCTTCGCCTTCTGCCCAGGGGATTCTCAGGTCAGTTGATTTAGACATTCTTTTGTTTAGTTATTTTAATAAAGTCCGGGATAGCTGATTCGGCTGTAGGGTTTTGGCCTAGTACATTGAGTTTATAATGAATATATTATGATATAAATATATATTATATCTTGATTTTCTCCGCTATTATTTTGATTTTTTTGGGTTTCCTTTTACTTGATACTGCTTGTCTTCTACAATTGCTGTTTGCGGAGAAGTTTTGTGTTTCTCGTTGCATTCAAATGGATGTTCTGCTTTTCGATGTCCATAGGGATAAGCTCTTTTGTTTCATGATCTGCTTAAAGTTCTTTTTTCCTTCATTTCTTACTTCGTGCGAACTTATAATCAGATCGGTGTTGAAGACCCTGTATTACGATTGCTCCATCATTTGATTTTTTGCTGACGATGAAAGGTATAATTTTTTTTTTTTTTTTCTGGATGCTCATTCAGCTTGAAGAGGAGAGTTTCAAAGGGAGTAACTTATTATTGTTCCCACCAGCCGATCGTCAAACACAAGAATTTCATTTGCAAACAATGGTGCAAGATATTGGTGCCTCATTGTTGATGGAATTTGAGAAATGGGTTCTCCAAGCTGAATCTGGTGGGACAATTTTGAAGACCCCTCTTGATTCTCAAGCCAGTCTTAGCTCAGAGGAGGTTTTAATTTTGATGGCCCAGAACTTTGTTAATACCCATCTGTTTATGTGTTCATGCAATCTTCTTGTACTAATCCTGATGACACTGAAACATAAAATTTACAGGTGATTAAGGCAAAGAAACGCCGGCTTGGTCGTGCACAGAAAACCATTGGAGACTACTGCTTGTTGGCTGGATCACCTGTTGATGCCAATGCTCATTATACTACTGCGCTGGATCTTACTAGGTTGACTGCTGATTTTTTTTGGTATGCTGGAGCAATGGAAGGAAGTGTTTGTGCATTGCTGGTAAGCAGGAACAACAAAGTACTTTTTCTTTTTTAAAAAGATATTTTGGGTTCTGTTCTTTCATCTCTATGTTGATATCTACAAATGTGTGCAGCTCCAGTATTTGAATAGGTAAGTCTGTGTAACTGTTCTGAGGACTTAATAGTGCTACTGAGCTGAGGAGATAAAAAATTGTTTATCAGAAGTTTCAACTTTCCCTTTATTATGGGTGTGTTCTTGTGTTTTTTGTTTTGATATATTTTTAGACGAAATAGCTGTTTGAGGCAACGATTTGGATAAAAAGTGAGTGTGTTGGATGTGATATTTTTAGAAAGAAAATAAAGTAATGAATAATAAAAATGTGTTTAGAAACACAAAAGAGCCCCGTAGAATGTGTTCTTTGGAATTTGTTTTTTTTTTTTTGAATAGTGGTTTGAATGTAATGTTTTGTAAGAAAAAATAATGTATTTTTATGGAGAATCGTGATGGTTGCATAATACAAAACTAAAACCAAACACCAAAAGAACATAACTATATGTTTGTATCTTTGAGTATTTTCCCTGCAGAAGAATAATGGTACAGTTCATTCTTTGGCCATTCCTTCCCGTGTATATAATGGGTATGCCATGCCCTATAACTGAATGAGTAACCAACATAATAATTACAGGCTAAGGTATGATTTATTTTTCAGTTGGTTTTAGCTTGCTTCATATTCCATTAGTTATTGTTTTTGGGTTTTTCTTTGGGTAGAGAAAAGTAATTTTATTGATAGTAAAGGCAGCTTAGATACAATACATCATGGAACATGAATCAAAGTACAATAACCAATTTTCTTTAGTTACCGTTGTTGTAACACCCTGGCCGGCTCAAACCGGAGCGTCACCGCCATAGTCACATCGTAAGACTCGTTCATCAACCAACTAGCTCTACGTTGTGGCGCTAAGACTAAAATAACCATTACAAAACAATTATTTAGAAATTTAGAATTAAAGCGCACCTGCTTATCATTTAAATAAATAAAGTTCGAATCAAAAGCATAAGTTGTAAATAGTTCTTAAACATTAATAATGAATTTTAAAAACATTTTAGAAGATAAAGTAGTTATAGTTCCCCCGATGGATCATATGATGTGGATGCATCATTTAGGTATAATAGAAACATGATCACCTACAAAAAGGTTGTAAGAAGAGGGCCAACACAACGGTTGAGTAAGCGCAATTAATCGAAGATAAATTAATACGATATAATGCCACAAAATCATTTGAAGAAGATAATTTGAATAAGACGACACATATCACATAAGGATAACTCACACACACGAGTCTTTTAGCGCCTCCCTTATATCTCTTTTTTATTCTCAAATAATAGTGATGAGCACATCACGAAGAAAACTCCACTAGGCCTTAATCAGGGCCGGCTTGACCCGGTTTTCCAACCTTATTACTTCGTATGACACGTCACATAGTTTTACATAACAAGCATAGGGTCACAACCCTCAAAGGAAACTCCACAATGTGTACATAAGGGTTTGAAACCCAAAGTACACGTAAATCAATTTATTATTAGTTTGCGAGGGGCGCCATACGGCCCACAACCCTCTAGTCTCCAATATAACATACCAAGAGGGGATTGTACGCAATCCATCCCTCCATCACGGATGACGGTCTAAAGACCTTTTCATCGTGAATGACGGGCACCTCGGAATCACCCAAAAAGGGAACCCGCCATCTCGATCCCTCGACCTAGCCCATTCGGGATTTAGTTTAAGGTTAGCTAGTTATCCTAAAATACCGGTATACTCTCACGTATTTGCAAGGCACAAAGGTGGAAGGGTATGCTTTATTATCCAAACAATCGACGAGTTGATCGGACTCGACGGATAGTTTCAATTACCAATTTGACCAAATACACAACATGCTCTTAGGCAAATTTCAAAAAGAGTTTTAAACTTAAAATATTCCAATTGTCAACATTTAACCATGCAAAAGTAGGATATTAGACCCAATAAGTTCGTTATAATCTCACTTTATTTCACCTAAGTAAACATTCGAAAAATATGTCAATCACAATAGGCATGGTCTAACTTAAAAAATCATAATATTTAAATATAATCGTAAATCTTTTTCCAAAAACCATAATTAGGATAGAGCAAAACTAGGGTTTCAAACCCATCCCATAAATTCTATGATTTTCAATTTAAAATTCAATAATAATCTTCACATAAGCCTTAGATGACATTATAATAAACTTTCTAGAAGAAATTGGCAAGATCTAACACTTTTGGGCAAACCCATTTGACAATAATTTTGAAAAATATCAATAGAAGGGGTCTAGGATTAGAACATATCATCTATCTAAGATTAATAAGAGTTTTGGAGAAGAAGACCTCCAAGGAAGAAGAGGGGTTGGCTGGCAGCGCGTTCTCTGCTTTGCTATTATTTTCTTTTTATTTTATTTTATTTTATACTTTATTAAACATAAAAGACTTGGACTCATCTTCTATATATATATATATAGGTACTCTAACTTGGATACGTTATATCTTAACAAATATGGATATGCTATATCTTATCAAATCCGCACTATGATATATCTTAACAAATTATGGATAAAGATACCTAAATTAAGAGATACGGATAAACTAAATCTAGTTTATTATTTATTTTACCCTAAATTCAATTTTACTCATAATTTAAAGCCAATTCTTTAATTTCTTATACCAAAATCCCAAAATAAATTAGCCCCAAAGTAATATTGACCGACTCCGACGTCGACCTCCGGCGAACTTCCGGCGAGTATTTTTACAGGGTATTACAGTTGTATTCCATGTTATTGTTTTAGTTAAATCATGGAACATGAATCAAAGTTCATAATAGTTGTCGATTCCTTAAATTAAGCAGACAAGTGTATAGCCCAAACTAGACTAGTTGTGTTCTCCTGATCGAGGTTAAGATCAATGAAATTTGAAATGTAGTAAATTGGGTGTTAAGACGATAAAATCTAACAACGTAGTAAATTGGGTGTTTGACGATAAAAGCTAACAACAAAAATAGTCAAATTCCGGTGAAAAGTTCAAGCTTGAGAAAAGAAATCCTTAAGTTATTATAGAGATGCGGAAAATAAATTAATTATGCAAAAAATTAAAATGGTGGTCCCAATAAATTTCTCTAGAAATTTGTGTTATCAAAGATGCCTTTTTTCTAGTTCAAATCGCGGATGTATAGGAGATTGATGGAGTTGTTGGAATTGATTATTGCATCGTGGGTGGTTTTGGATGACATGATCATCAATTGGGGATGAAGTTTACAATCAGTTTAAATCTCGCTTCTGAAACCATCCATCAACCACCCGTCTGGTTGAACCAGAAAAATCGGTTCAAGTAAACCTTTTCTCACATGATTATGGAGTTGCCAATTATGACCAATCAATCATCCATCTACCCGTTTATGTAATTGGTAGGAGTAGCATGTGGCCATGACCAATAATAATTTTAGGATGTGTTTGTTTGAAAGTTTGAATTTTGATTTGAGATTTGAGTAGTAAATTTTTTTAATTTGAATTGTTGTATAATGTGATATAAATAGGTATTGGTGTGATGTTTTCAATGTAAATTAATTTTTAGTATAATAAAAAAAATAAAAAATAAGTATTTGGTTTTATGTTTTTGAGGAGACAAATTTGGATGAATCATAGAAATTGGGTAAAGTTTGATATAAAAGAACACATCCATAATGGAAATAATGAAAATAATTTGCAAAGGAGTGGCCGATTAGGATACCCATTTTCTTTTTTTTTAAAATTTGCGCCAGTATCCGATTGCCCAATCTGATAAAGACCAATTTCGAGATTGCCGAGTTGGAGACTACCCGATTCGGAGACTGCTCCAACTCGATCCGGAGACTGACCAATCTTTGCAATCTGGCCGATCTGGAGACAATCCGATCCGGAGATTGACCAATCTTTGCAATCTGCAGTCTGGAGAGCACCTGCCCGATGCACAATCTGCCAATTTGGCCGATTTTGTATATTTTGTGTTAACACCGGGTTTTTGGATTTCTGATCCTCCCTTTTGCCTGCCATTTTATTAAGTTGTGATGGTGCATTTGCTTTACTTAAATCATTGCCAGTGATTGTCTCTGACCTTCTCTTCTTGAATCTTTGCATGTGCATTTGTCTCCTAATTCTGCAATATTAGATGGATCGTATGGGTCAGTTGAATCCAGTCTTAGAGGATGAAGTTAAGTACCGTTACAACAGTGTCATTCTGCACTACAGAAAATCTTTTATACAAGATAATGCCCAAAGGTATGCAAAACTTTCTGCTTCAGTGGATTTAAATTTTCTTACATGTCCCTAAATTTTACATAGGTGATACTGGTATAGAGCTAGAAATTGATCAATCTTTACATCTCTTTTATAAACTCGATAATATGAGTGATCCAACCCTGGGTGCATGAGTAAAATCTACCCCATTTTCATCCTACATATTTAAAATTCAGTTTTAACATTCTACATGAGTCCAAGTAAATTGTTTGGTCTACTTGATACAAGATAAGTTTTGTTGCAATAGTATTTTAGGATTAAGACTTTTTATTGTTATGCGTGTTTTTTTATGGAAGTTCTATTTAAATTATAGCTCATGCTTCTTGATTGACATAGAATCCATTCTTGAGTGAAATAAATACTGAGACTTCGGTTGCTTGTTCAAATTCTATTATGAACTCTACCCAGTCTATTGTAGGAGAGTCATCTCTTGATGTTAACCTTAGCTGGTTTCATGAGTTTTTACTATGTTTGTTTCTTGCGGCTGTTGACTTTATACAGGGTTTCACCATTGAGCTTTGAACTTGAAGCCACATTGAAGTTAGCAAGATTTCTGTGCAGGTATGCTAGTTTCACTTGATACTTTTGCATCACTCATGACTTGATGCTCAACGTATTTTATTGCTTCAAATTTAAATACTGTTATACAAGTGCATTGTATTTACCAGTGATCTGTTCTGTTATAAGACGAGAGCTAGCAAAGGAAGTCGTGGAGTTGTTGACTGCTGCTGCTGATGGTGCAATATCTTTGATTGATGCCAGTGATAAATTAGTTGTGTACATTGAAATAGCCCGGCTCTTTGGTGCACTTGGTTATCATCGAAGAGCTGCCTTTTTCTCAAGACTGGTGGCTCAGTTGTACTTGCAACAGGATAATAAACTTGCTGCTATCAGTGCTATGCAAGTCCTGGCCATGACAACAAAAGCATATCGTGTACAAAGTCGAGCATCGAGTGAACCCTCTAATGTGAGTTTTAAGTGCTTTAGGTGGTTACATAAGTTAGTATACTTGACATTTGCATTTTTAATGATGGCATCAGTGGATCCCATTTAGGATAATTGTGAGTATGATACTGCTTTAACTATGATCCAGGACATGCTTGATATTTCTCTAATGATGTTGGATGTATCTATGCTTTTGATTTGTGAATTATGACATTTTAATTTCAGATAGCCATCATGTTTATAAATAATCTGAAATGGATCCTGATGTATGCATGAAATGATTTTAATCTGTGACAATTTTAACATTTTAAATTCCAGATGTATCTGAAATGGGAACATTTTTAAATGTATCTTTTCTTGTAGTGCCTGTATTGTAATGCTTCTGATTGCGAAAAATTCCCTTCGAAACGAACCAATGCTTTCATAACATGCAACCTGAAATTGATCCTGACATGTGCCTTGAAATATAAACTTACAAGCATTTGGGAATTGCTGCAAGCTATTTCATTGTGACGAATTCATGGTTTTAATTGATTTCCTTTCTGTACTTTGTCCTATGCCTGATCTAGTACTGTTCCCAAGAGTCTGTGTAACCATAAACCTTACTGTATTCATTGAGATCTGTTGACTATGTATACCACTGTGGGTAATGTAAATAATAGATCTTGTGATAGGATTGGTGCACGTTTGAATTTATTTAGTCATAATGGAAACAACGCTGTCTCCATCGTTACATCTTTTTCCGCACATTAGAATTGTCTGTATATGTTCCCAATTTTCTGAGACCTACTTAATGGCTTATTATTGGCTATAAATTAGATTCAAATCTCTCTTTATTTGTATATCGGAGAATGTTTGAGAGTCTTTCTTGTTCACTTTTATGGAAGGATGCTAGACAAACTTCTACTGATGGGGGAAAGATGCATCACCACTCAATAGTGTCCTTGTTTGAATCACAGTGGAGCACCTTGCAAATGGTTGTTCTGAGAGAAATACTTCTATCTGCAGTTCGTGCAGGGGATCCTCTTGCTGCCTGGAGTGCTGCTGCACGTCTATTGAGGTCTTATTATCCACTGATCACACCTGCTGGGCAAAATGGCCTGGCCAGTGTGCTTGTGAATTCAGCGGAAAGACTTCCTTTGGGAACTCGGTGTGGTGATCCAGCCTTGCCCTTCATCAGGTAGTCAGTTATTTATTAATTTTTTCCTTTCTGAATTTGATAATATAGATTATATAAATGTAAGGTATGTGCATTTTCTTTGCCGTATTTACTACTTAGCGTTCTCATTGAAATCATGCTTTTGGGGCATGGAGAGTTCCCCTTAGCAATATCCACACTTGTGTTTGTAAATAAAGATAATGCAACTTCTATGTCAATTAACAATCTTAATGAAGACACTATTGCTTACATGTAAATTGGAAATATGACATATGCCGATGATTTTGTTCCCCTCTCCAAGGATCATTTTTTTAAGTGTGGTTTTTTTGAAGTCAATTCCTAGTTGGGCTCAAATAAGTGCATTTGTCAAATCGCTGTACTCTTCTCTGACCGCAGCTTTGGTGTTAAACACTTAGGTTGCACTCATTTCCTTTGCACTCATCACAAACGGATATAGTAAAGCGAAACCCATCTCGAGATGATTGGTGGGTTGGGTCTGCTCCATCAGGGCCTTTTATTTATACGCCTTTCAGCAAGGGAGAACCAAGTCATAGCACTAAGCAGGAGATAACCTGGGTTGTTGGCGAACCAGTTCAAGTGTTGGTGGAACTAGCAAATCCATGTGGTTTTGAATTGATGGTCGACAGCATTTATCTGTCAGTGCATTCGAAGAATCTGGATGCCTTTCCTGTAAGTGTCAATCTCCCTCCGAATTCCTCAAAGGTGATAACGTTATCCGGTATACCAACCAAGGAGGGTCCAGTTACTATTCCTGGATGCATAGTTCACTGTTTTGGTGTCATCACTGAACATATATTCAAGGAGGTTGATAATCTTCTTATTGGGGCAACTCAAGGGCTTGTGCTTTCTGATCCTTTTAGGAGCTGTGGTGCTGCAAAGTTAAAAAATGTACCAATACCTAATATTATGGTGGTATCATCACTGCCGTTGTTGGTATCTCACATTATAGGTGGTGGTGGCTCCACTATGTTATATGAAGGCGAGATTCATGATGTATGGCTTAGTTTGGCTAATGCAGGTACTGTTCCAGTTGAACAGGCACATATCTCATTGTCAGGGAAAAACCAAGACTCTGTTGTATCTGTTGCTTCAGAAACTCTGAAATCAGCCCTCCCTTTAAAACCTGGTGCAGAAGTTACAGTATGTATAACCTTGAAAGCTTGGCAGTTTAGCATGATGGATTCTGACCCTACTTCTAGCAAGGGTGTCCTTGGGACTTTAGGGAAACAAGCCAAGGATGGTAGTGGGCCAATGCTGCTGTTCCACTATGCAGGTATCTACTATGGAGTAATATTCCTTGTTTCAGCAATGAGTCAATGACCTGTACTTGTCACTCTCACTCCTTGTCTAACAGTTCCTTAGTTTACATTTGGAGTAGCATTGTGGAGATAAGAGGGTTTCCTGGGGCATTGTCATCAGCACTGCTGTTGGGATTGCTTCTAATTGTTGTGTTTGCTTGTCAGGTCCGTTGGCAAACTCCGGCGAGCCACACATGGGATCTGTACCACCTCCTGGCAGACGTTTGATCATACCTTTAAACATTTGTGTTTTGCAGGGCCTGTCTTTTGTAAAGGCTCGTCTGCTCTCAATGGAAATTCCAGCTCACATTGGTGAAACTCAGACCAAGCTATTACAAATGGAAAATGATCATTCGGAGAAGGCCAATAGCTCAGAGAGACAAGCTGATAAGTACATGAAAATTGATCCTAACAGGGGTAGTTGGGGGGTGCGCTTTCTTGAATTAGAGCTGTCTAACCCAACCGATGTTGTCTTTGAGATATGTGTTTCGGTTGACATGGAGAACAACCCGAAAATCAGTGACAAGGAGAGCCTCTCCTACTGTACCTGTGCAGAATTTGGTCATCGAAAAACTAGGATTGACAGGGATTATACTGCTAGGGTATTAATACCTCTTGAACATTTTAAGCTACCCATTCTAGATGACTCCTTTTTCTTTGATGGTTCACAGATCAGTGGGGCCAGTCGAAGTTCTGGCTTATCAGAAAAGAGTATTAAGGCTGAGCTTGGGGCATCTATTAAAAATTTGATTTCTAGAATTAATGTCAGGTGGCAATCTGGACGCAATAGTTCTGGTGAGTTAGATATCAAGGATGCTATACAGGCTGCACTGCAGGCGTCTGTTATTGATGTTCTACTGCCAGACCCCCTGACGTTTGGCTTCCAGCTTGCTGGAAGTAGTGCAGAGCAGTCTGCAGATATAAACTTGCGAGAAACAGCAGACTCGCATGTCAATTATTGCGAGACTGGAGGCGCCATCCTCGCGCATAACATGACTCATATGGAAGTGATTGTGCGCAACAACACCAAGGAAATTATTAGGATAAGCCTTAGTATCACATGCAAAGATGTGGCTGGTGAGAACTGCATCGAAGGCGACAAGGCAACTGTTCTGTGGGAAGGTACCAGTGCGATAGATATCATAGGTTTCTCAGTCAGTGTCTTTATTGAGAGCACCCTCCATTTGATAATCCGCATTTTTATTCAAAGTGATGCGTAACGGCAACTCTGTCGTTTGCGGCATCTGCTAATAGTTTCGTCTGTGTATCAGGTGTGCTGAGTGATATCACCATGGAGGTCCCTCCCCTGGAAGAGACTAGGCATGCTTTCTCTCTGTATTTCCTGATACCAGGGGAGTACACACTGCTGGCTGCCGCTGTGATCGAAGATTCTAATGAGATTCTTAGAGCACGGGCAAGAACTAAGCTATCGAATGAACCGATCTTCTGCCGTGGACCACCCTTCCATGTACGAGTGAGCGGTGATGCGTGAATTGTGCTGGGCCTTTAAGCCCGGATACTGCGCAGTTATTTGCGAGCCTCCTACGTAGGCCAGTTTGACTCCACCCCCTCTGTTGTGAGCGTATAGTGGTGGAATGTGATTCTTTTTCTAAGAGAATGTCATCTTTGTATTCGAACCAAGCAAGCAAGCAAGCAAAATAGTCATCTTCTTTCATCGGAATTGAATCGAATCAAACAAATACATAATATTTGTTAAATATATAATATTTGTTTTTGAATCGAAGTTGTTCTATTAAATCGAAATTTCAGTTGGGTTCAATTCTTTGATTCATTTTCTTTTTTCCAATCCACGAATGATATATAAATACTCCATCACTCCTGTTTTAAAACGAATTTACCAAAATTTTATTAATTATATTTAAAACAAATTTAAATTAAAGTATAAAAATATATTTTTAATATTTGTTATTTATATTTTAAAATTTTAATTTAATGATAATATATAAATAAAAAAATAAAATTATAATATAATATTAAATTATAAGTATTTTATAAATTATTTTAAAATTTTATATTAATTTCGTCTCATAAGAAAGAGCAATATCATTTGCTTTTGGCATCATCATATTTAATATTAAAAATATTTTTATATTATATAATTTATTTTACAAATGTCATTATATTTATGTTTTGCATTATAAGAGGTCGATCAAAAGTCTTATTCGAGCGGATGCATATGGTCTCCCGACTTTCCATTTCAAGTAGTAGCTTCACCTTCTTATTTGTTTTTTAGCCTTTAATACTTAGACTACCTTGACTTGTTTGTGTATGGTTTGTTTGACTTGGATTGTATAACATGTATCAGCAGAACTACGTATGACTTGATCCCATTTGGGTACGTAGGCAATCCACTTTAGGTGCAACCATTGTTATATAGTTTTTACCAAAAAAAACCCTAAACCATCCACCGATTTCTCAGCCACCAGAAACCCTAATCCCGACTTCACCATTATTGTTCAACCACTTTATCATTTTCCGATCAACACCTCCATGAAGCTATCCGTTGATCCAACCATTTTATTGCTTTGTTGGTGTTGATGCCTTAGGCATGTTGCCTTTGGCGTTTGATACTTAGACTACCTTGGCTTGTCTGGTCTATTTTGTTTGACTTGGACTGTATAGCCTGTATCAACAGAACTATGTGTGGCTTGATCCCGTTTGGGTACGTAGGCAACCCACTTTGGATTCAGCCATTGCTATATAGTTTTTACAAAAAAAATCCTAAATTGTAAATGATAACTAAAAATGTGTGTGTGTGTTTATACAAGTCACAAGGAATTTATATTCGAAAATCAGCGAATGAAAGTTTATATAAAAGCAATCAGATATAGAAATTTTGTGGTTGTAAACCCTGAGTAGTTATCATAATTATTTATACTCTTTTTACTGGTGAGTTTCCAGGTCGAACACAAGGATTTTAAGTCATGAATTTCAACGGTAAAAATCTTGAAGAAGCGACGAAAACTGCAAGAAGGGATCCGCTTATAGCGGATCAAAAAGATAGGCTAAAGAAAGCAGTAAGTAAAGTGGTAAAAGTGAAGTGAGCGGAAGCGAGGGAAGCGAGGGCGGAAGATGAAGTACCAGCGGTGACCAGATGTTCGGGACATGAGCGGAAGTGGGGACCAGATGAACGGGACATGGATGAATGGCGGTTACCGAGTGAACGGGACATGAGCGAGCCGCACATTATATGTATATGTATGTATATATATATGGGCGACATAGAGTGGAGGAGAGATGTTGTGTCTGAACTGTGCGTTACTAAATGGATAGATTTCGCTGGAGGCAATGAGCGAGCGATGCAAGTGTGTTATCGGAAATATATGTATTTTACAAAAGCGGTGAGAAGGAAGTAGTGTAATTATATAAACTGAATATAAAGAATTCATAACACTGGAATTTTTTACCTTAAGGGATTTACAACAAGACTTCAATGACACCCAGATTCACGACATTATAAGAAAGAAACCCTACTGTCACTAGGAATCTCTGCGACCTAATAGACCACCGCCTATGCCCCGTTAATTTTCCCAAAATCTGCCTCATTAGTGGCTTTACCCTTCTGTTACCTCTTTTTAATCAAAATTGAATTCAGAACAGTAGTTAACCAGGTCGACAAGGCTTCCGCGTACTTAACTACATTGAACTACCTTGAGACCACTTTTGGCGCATAACAAGGCTCAAATAATCAATTCTTCTCTAGCTCTAAACCAGTGAAATAAAACTCTCTAAATTCAAACTTTATATAAGGGTTTAGGGTTTTTTTTTAAAAAAAAATTATATAGCAGTGGCTAAACCCAAAGTGGGCTGCCTACGTACCCGAACGGGATCAAGCCATCTTAGCAGCGCTACATAGTCCAAGTAAGCAATATGAATGACCAGCCTAGGTAATCAAAATATCTATCCTAAGGCTAAATGCCTAAGTCATCAATACTAACCAACACTAAGCCTATCAAGCCTAAGTATCAAAAATCAAGTAAAGGCAAGTATACCAAGACGAAGCCTGCTACCTGAAATGGAAGGCCGGAAGTCCATCTGCATCCGCTCGAAAGAGGCCTCGATTCGCCCGGGGAAGATCCGCCGGAAGTAGTAACTGCTCCGTCGGGAGGGAGACCGCCATCGTCGCTAACATATCCGCAACACGGTTCCACTCCCGATAAATGTGTGAGATCCTCCAAGTCGCGTCCCGTAAGCGTATGCGAAGAACAAGAAGACACCGCTAAAGCGACCAATGACTCATCGTGGAGGAGATCAGAGAAATACAGGGCGTCGAGTCTGTCTCGATCCATAATGTCACCAATCCTCAATCAATCGCTATCCCAACTCCCTTCTGAATCGCCGTCAGCTCTGCCAGAGTGTTCGTTGCGTGTGAAATCGGAACCTGATATGCGACAAGCAGCCGAATCCCGAATAACACCTGCCTCACCAGCCGCTCTGGAATTGCCAAGTGAAGCACCATCGGTGTTAAACTTGAACCATCCCAGAGACGGAGCCTCCCATCGCACCATAATCGGAGGCCGAGGAACCGGAGGGGGATACCGAAACCCAAGCCCAGCAGCAACATGGAAATCACCCTCCCAATGTCGACGCAGAAGGACCCTAGCACGCCATAGAGTCTGCAAGTGCACGTGAATCCGCCAGATGATCCTCTCGGAAGACATACGAAGCCCCCTGTGCTTCGCGTCATTCCGAGCTGTCCAAGTGAACCACAATACCAACAACGGAACATACGCCCTAATGCTCTGAGGACGCGCCGAAGAGAGTCTCCATGATGATACTAACAAATGCGGAGTGTGTGTCTCCGGAAATGATACCCCAAATAGTGCTGCAAAATGCCCCCAAACTCTCCTAACAACTCTCGAATCAATAAAGACATGGGAGATAGTCTCTATCTCCGCATGACAACAATGACAGCGCGATACAACCGGTATGCGTGGCCGAAACAGTCTCCACAAGAATACCGACATCGTCGGGGTCATAATCCGCGACCACAATAACCTCGAAAGCCAACTCTGTACCCCTGTGTCCCGACAAAGCTGCCAAGCAGAGGACATAGTAAATGTACCAGATGCCGAAGACATCCAGCTCATCTGATCCTCAGTCTGCTTGTCGAAGGGGATCTCAATAACGCACTGCACTAAAGCCTCCGGAAGATAAGCTCGTAGTCGCCCAACGTCCCATGACCCCTCTGTCCAGATATCCCTGACCAGTATCGGCGGTGGCGGCCGGCTGTCTCCTCGGAAGGTCGAGAGGGGCTGCTCCCCGAACCATCTGTCCACCCAAAAGAAACACTCCCCCCGACCTAGAGTCCAGTAAATCTGCGACTGGACCTACTCCCTAAAAGGGTTTAGGGTTTTTTTTTTTTTTTTTTTTGGCTGGGCTCAAAGAGCTGCCTACGTACCCCAACAGGATCAAGCCATACGTAGTTCTGCAAAGTTCGGTACAAGTGCTGGGAAAGTAAATAGAAATTGTAAACAAATAAAAGCTAACGGAAGCGAAAGCACGGGAGGCCCGCCGCGTCAGCATGGATGAGGCCCCGAGTCCTCGCAGGGATGTCCGCCGGTTCCAGGATCCGCGTGTGAGGAAGGGCAACAGAGGTGTTCGCCAAATTGTCCGCCACTTTATTGCCCTCGCGGTAAATATGAGAGATCCTCCACTCGATGCTGCGAAGCTGTATGCGCAGGTGGTGGAGACAAGGCTGGAGAGTCCAGTGTCCCGTCGAGGAGGAGATGAGAGAGATGCTGCTGGCAGAGTCCGTCTCGATCCAGAGAGGGAGGAGGCCGCGTGCTACCGCCAGGTCCACGCCGGATCGAATCGCCTGCAATTTAGCCAAAGTGTTTGTCGTATCCAAGAGGGGAACTTGGAATGCCACAAGTGGAGCGCCGGTGGCATCCCGAATGACGCCCGCGGCTCCAGCAGCGCCTGGGTTCCCGAGCGATGCCCCATCGGTATTAAGTTTGAACCAGCCTGGAGACGGAGCTTCCCAACGCACCATGACCGGCGGCCGAAGAACCGGAGGTGGGAGGCGAAGGCCGAGACTAGAGGCTAAGTGCACCTCCCCAGGCCAGTGCTGACGCTGAAAGAGGCCAGCACGGCCTAAGACCTGCAAATAAGAGTGAATACGCCAAATAATCCGGTCAGATGAAATCTGGATACCTCGGTGTTTGGCATCATTCCGTGCCGTCCAAAGAAACCAGAAGGCCAGAAGTGGGACATAAGTACGGACGCTCCGCACATGACGGGAGGACAAACGCCAAGCAGAAACCATGAGGTGGGGCGCATGTGTCCGCGGAAGTTGGATGCGAAATAGGTCGGCGAGATGGCGCCACACGCGCTGGGCAACCGCCGACGAGAAAAATAAGTGCTCAATCGTCTCAGACTCCCGACAGCACTGGCAGCAAGAGACAATAGGGAGGCCCATCTTCCGTAAGATCTCATCGACGGGTATCCGACGGCGAAATAAACGCCATAGGAATACAGACATTGTAGGAGTAAGAAACGGCGACCATAAGCTGCAAGAGAGCCAACTCCGTACTCCAACTATTCGGCTTATCTCCCAGGCTGAAGTTGTAGAGAAAAAACCTGTGGTCGAGGCTTTCCAAATTGGCTGATCCGCTGTCAGGGGGTCAAAAGGAATCGCAGAGACCCGCTGAACAAAGGCTGCCGGAAGGTAGGCCTGGAGGCGCGTCAAATCCCACGACCCGTTTACCCACATCTCTTGCACCCGAATCGGCGGAGGGCGGTCCTGGCGGTCAGTGTAGAGAGGGCGATCGCCGCACCATGTATCGTACCAAAAGAAGCACTCCCCACGCCCCAGGTTCCAAGTGAGCTGAGTCTGTGCCTCTTCTCGAATCTGGCAAAGACGCTTCCAGACCGGGCTGTCGTAGCTCCGGCAGGGTGCAAGGCCTGGGAAAGAGCTGCGAAAATACTTTTGTTGAAGCGCGCGAGCCCAAAGAGAGGAGCCATCTCTGAGTCGCCACCATAGTTTAAACGAGAAGGCCCGAACCATATCGGCCAGGCGGTGAATGCCAAGCCCACCCTCCTCCTGTGGCCGTGCAATATCCGCCCAGGAGATCCAATGGCGGCGGCGGTGCCCGTGATAAGAACCCCAGAAAAAACGAGCAAATAGCTGCTCCACGGAGTGAAGTACCGCCTGGGGGGGGCAAAGTACCTGCAGCAGATAGAGGGGGAGCGAGAACAAGGTGCTCATGATCAACTGTAGACGACCCCCGTGTGAAAGGACTGAACGATCCCAACGCTGCAGATAGCGACGGAGCTTCCCAAGGAGTTCCTCATACAGAATATTACGCCGATTGCCCACATAGAGGGGCGCGCCAAGATACGTGAGGGGAAGTTCAGCCGCGCCAAAGCCAGTTACCGATTGGAGCAGCCGTTGTACACTCTCCGGGCACTGGCGGATGAAAACAAGCTGGCTTTTCTGACAATTCACCTTCTGACCAGTAATCCTTGCATAAGTCGTCAGAAAGTCCGTCAGAAGGCTGATGCGATTGCCACAGGTATTAGCGAATATGAGGACATCATCCCCATAGGCTAGGTGCGTCAGCCGGAACCGACCACGACACCGATAGTACAGATCCGGAAAACGGTTGTAGAGGCGCTCCAAGCCTCGTGATAAGAGATCTGCAGCCAAGACAAAAAGGGTCGGGGACAAGGGGTCTCCCTGCCTAAGGCCTCGCGAGGAGGGGAAGAAGCCACCCAACTCCCCATTCACAAGGATCGAGTACCAAGCATGCTCAACACAATTCATAATCAAAGTGATGAAATGAGCCGGGAAACCGAACCTGGAAAGGGCGTGCCGCAAGAACCGCCATGACACCCGATCATATGCCTTGTTAAGGTCCAATTTCAACAATAAATTGTGCGAGTTACCTCTCAGATTAAGATCATGGACCATTTCCGATGCTAGCAGGATATTGTCCGCAATCGCGCGGCCTTTGACAAAGCCGCTCTGATGCGGTGATAGGAGCTGCGGCAGTAAAGGGCTGAGGCGCGTGGTAAGAAGCTTTGTGAAGATCTTGCTACTGACATTACAGAGGCTGATAGGCCGGTAATCAGCCCATGCAAGTGGCCTCTCCTTCTTGGGGATAAGCACAAGAGTCGTCGCTGTATAGAACTTCAAGAGAGGAGCTCCCGAAAAGAATTCCAGTACAGCATCAAACACATCCTCCCGGATAATCTCCCAACATTTCTGGTAGAAGGCGGCAGAGAAGCCATCGGGGCCAGCCACACTATCCTGATCAATCGAGAAGACCACAACACGAATCTCCGCAAGTGTAGGCGGCTCTAGCAACCGAGTGCACTCAGCCGGCGGAACCTGGGGTGGTGGGTCCGCCAAGGCATCCATTTCCGAGGTGTCGGCATCATCAGGCTGTCCCAACATCCCAGAGAAATAGGTGATGGCTGACTGCTTAATATCTGAGTGATCAGTGAGGGTACGAGCACCATCTGCCATCGAGAAAATCGTCGCTTGTCGGCGTCGTTCCTTCACCATGGAGTGGAACATACGGGAGTTCCGTTCTCCCTCGACCGTCCACCGACAGGCTGCTTTTTGTTTCCAGAAAGCCTCCTCCAGAGCAATCGCATGTGTCAAAGCCGCAGCGCTACGCTGACGACGGAGGAGGTTGGCGTCAGAAGGATCCCGATCGAAATCCGCTTCGCACTCCTCTGCGTCTTTTTCTGCTGCCGCTAGCACCTGAAAAATATTACCAAATACCTGTTTGTTCCACCACTTCAGAGCCTGCTTGAGGCGTCCGAGTTTCAATCGCAGGTTGAGGAGACCGGTGGTGCCCGTCGGGACAACCCAACTCTGGCGGACGTGGTCCTGAAAAGTGTGGTGTCTAGTCCACATGTTCTGAAACCGGAATGCAGAGGCAAGGCGGTGTCGTTCATGCGAGAACCGGACCAAGAGCGGGGCGTGGTCCGAATGCATCCGCGGTAAGTGCCTGACTCGAGTTGTCTCCGCAAAATCCTCCCAGGCAGAGCTGTAGAGAATGCGATCAAGGCGCTCCCAAACCCGCCGATTAGTCCATGTGTGCGGGGGGCCCTCAAAACCAGCATCAATGAGGTTCGCATCGAGGATTGCGGTCGAGAAATCCTGAATGGAGCGCAACTTAGGCCGACCCGGGCCCTTCCGTTCAGATATATCGGCGATGGCATTAAAGTCACCGCCAAGCAGCCAAGGGGATCCCAATGACGAAACTGCGGTGTCATGTAAGAAAGACCAAAGATCGCGGCGCTGGGTGATAGAGCACCTCGCATAAATGCCAGATAAAAGAAAAGGCCGGCGAATCTGTGGAGATGATACCTGCACATGAAGACACTGATCGATCTCCGAAATAGGCGCCAGTGTATAAGAGTCATCAGCAAGAATCCAGATGGAATTAGCCGTGTTGGTGAGCATCTGGGAGAAGCCAAACCGCCGGCAGAAGAAAGCAGTGTCCGCCAGAACCATAGGTTCAAGGATGATGAGAAGGCGGATATGGTGTTGCTTACAAAGCCAATGTACCTCCCGTTGAGCCCTGGGGTTACCAATTCCTCGCACATTCCAGACCAGAATATAGGTGTCTGTCATCGAGAACTAGCAGTAGGGCGACGAGAGGAACTTACTTGCTGACGAGAGATGCTGCGGGTAATCGGTCTAGAGAAGGTCGGCGGCAGAGCCTGTGGCCGGTCATCCGACACTGTCGCCAAAGATCCGCTGAGAGACGGAGGTTCTGCAGCCTGGTTCAAAACGCACACCCCCCTGCTCGGATTCGACTCCGTCGACAGAGCGACACTAATAGGGAGCGGTTCCGATGAAGTCCGCAGGAGGGGTGGGTTCGGATCAAATACTGGGAGGAGCTCTGTCCCGGTAGTTGTATCAGCAGGTAGATCACCAGAGTAAAGATCAGTGGTACCTCTCGGGGAAAGAGACAGTGAATCGATGAGGGGCGGTTGGCCATCCTTAATAAGGGGCGAGTCACCATCCGAGTCCTCGGCGAAAGTAGCTTGTAGTGCAGAGTCCTCGTCCCGCTGGGTGTCCGAGGAAGGAGAACCAGTGGCCGATAGGCATGTGTCCACTGAAAGATCACGTCGATCGCAGATAGGTGATGCAGGGGGGTCAGAGAGCAGCACTGCCTTCCCCTTATCCAGGCCATGACCAGCGGGAAGTCCCCAAATTGCCAAAGACTGAGCAGGAGGAAGCGACACAGGCTCCGGAGGTACCTGCATATCATCAGCAAGCAGTGGCAAAGGTGGCGAGGGTACCTGAGCGTCCAATGGGGGCTGCGGAAGGAGACCAAGGGCTGGGGCGGTGGGAGGAGTCGCTGGAGTGGGACTCAGCCGACAGTCGTCCAGCGGGGAGGCAGGACTGTCAATCGGGGGCTCAGCTGTAGTCTGTCCAGCCAGAGGGCGGCCGGAGAGGTTTCCGAAGGCGCCAGAAAGTCCCCAAAGGTAACTCGAACACCAGAAGTAAGCAGCATCGCAGAGGCATCCCCCCGTGAGTGGGAAAAGGTCACCCGAGGAGGAGCGTGGGGGCGATGAGCCTCCGCAGGGCCGCTGAGATGTTCCGGTGTTAGCTGCAGTGACTTCCCGGGCGTCTGTGATGGATTTGGGGCCACCTGTGTCTCCCCAAAGGTCACCCGCACACCAGAGCGAAGACGTCTGGAACCATTCAACTCCGGGATGTCATCGGAAGGTCTCCAGGTAGAAGGCTGGGGGTCCCGGCGGAGGAGCCGAAAAGGAGCCTGCAAGGAGCCAGAATCATTAGTAATACCAGTAGAAGGCGTACCCCGATTTCGATTGCGGCGCCGATGACGGCGTCGAGCGGTGGGGGGCCGGGGTTCCATGATATCACCAGAGGCGGGGGCTGCAGAGATCTCAAAAGGGCCATGCACCGAGTCATGGCGACCAGAAGGCGCAGCAGGAGGATCCTGCGCAGCTGATACGGTTGCTGGTACCGGCTGCGAAGAGGGTCTGCGTAAACAAGCCTCCGCTTTGTGCCCAAGATGGCGGCAGAGTGAGCAGAAGCTAGGGAGCCGTTCGTAGATGACCTTCTGTTCGAGCACACCAGTACCAACATCAATCTTAAAGGCATGCAGAAAGGGCTTCGTAAGATCAATTTCCACACAGACTCGGGCATGGGAGCACCGACTCCGAGTCGCCGTAGGGGTATCAACCTTCAGAGGGGTCCCAATGCCAGCAGCAACTGTGAATAAAAGATCTCTGTGATACATGTGGAGAGGAAGTAGTGGGAGCGTAACCCACACCGGAACGTGTGGAGGTTCCTCGGTAGTTTTGAAATCGGGGGTCCATTTGAGAACTCTCATCGGGAATCCTTTAATAAACCAAGTTCCCCGAATCCAAAGTCGCATATAGTCAGCCTCGGTAGTGAGTCGAATCACAATATGGCGGTGATTTAGATGCTGCAAAGCAAACTTCCCCGCCAAACGGAAACTCGCAAAACCGTCGGTGAGATCTTTCCAAGAAGAGTACCCGTGAGAGAATTTACCGATAAGAATGTACGGATGCGAGGCTGTGTACCTTGCTGTTTCGTCAGCAGTAAAAGCAAGGCGCGGCTGTCCGGCAGTGGAGATCCATTGTCCAATAGCAGCCGGTCGAGGCTCCGCCAGAAAGGAGTAGGGACTGTCCTCAGGAACATCGGGATCGAGTCCGGAGGTAACGGCATTGGCGAAGGACTTGTGTGAATGAAGATGGTTATCAGCAGTGGCAAGACGTATCGAACCATCACCTTCGGGAGGCGGCCGGCGGCCGGCAGCAGCCTGAGCGGCCATGTCCGGCAAGTCCACGGCGGAACCCTAGCTCCGGAGGGAGTCGGCGTCTGTCATCGGAGACGGCGGCAGAGGGTGGGGGTCTGGGGTTTCCAGGGCCGGCGAGTCAAACAGTGCCGTCAGACCGGCGGTCGGAGCACCGGAGCGGCAGGAAAAAGGCGACGACGAGGGCCAGTGACAGCCGCGACTCCTGGGCACCGTTCGGGCACTGTTTCGGTGTCGGGGGGGCACCGTCTGGGGGTTGTCGGGGTCGAAGAAAACAGTGGTGGCACCAGAAGGGTGGTCGGACGCCGGAGTCGGCCGGAGTAGCGGAGGCGTCGTGTCGGGAGGTCAACCGTCGGGGCAGGGTCGACGGCGGCTTCCGGCAGCTGCGGGCTGGGGACGGGGTCTTTTCAGGCCATCGAACCCAGCGGTGGTGGCCGATCGGCAGACCGTCGCCGGAGTTGAGAGAACGACGCCGGCGATGGTCGCGCGATAGGGCAGCGACGAATGGCAGTGCAGCAGCAGCGACCGGCGGGGATGGCACAGCTCCGGGGGTTTCTGGGGACGGGGAGACCGGTGGCGTCGGCAGAAAGGCGGTCGGACGTCAGGAATCGCCGAACGGCGGTGGCGACCCTTCAGGAGGCGAACCGTCGGGGCCGGGGCCGGCGGCGAATTCCGGCGGTCGGTTGGTGGGTTCAGGGACTCCTCAACCCTGCGAGGTCAGTGACGGTGGCCGATTGACGAGCCAGCGTCGGAATCGGGAGAACGGCGGCGCCGATGGTGTCACGGCCTAGGGCAAAGGCGGACGGTGGTGCAGGGGTGGCGACCGGCGGCAGGGGTACAGCCCTGGGGGTTGTCGGGGCCAGGGAACACGATGCCGTCGTCAGACCGGCAGTCGGACGGCGGGAAGATGCCGAACGGTGGCGCCGATGGTGTCGCGACCTAGGCACCGGCGGACAGTGGCGTAGAGGTGGCGACTTGCGGCGGTGGCACGGTCCTGGGGGTTTTCCGGGCAGGGGGGAACACGATCCCGTCGTCAGAATGGTGGTCGGACGGCGGGGGGATGCCGAACAGCGGTGGCGACGGTTCGAGAGGCAAACCGTCGGGGGCGGGGCCGGCGGCGTATTCCGGCGATCGAGGTGTGGGTTCGGGGACTCCTCAACCCTGCGAGTTCAGTGACGGTGGCCGATTCGCCGTAGGACGTCAGGAGGGGCCGCGACAGACACGGCGGCGCTGGGCAGATCCCGGTGGATGGTGACGGCGGTTGCGGGGTGGTTTCCGACAGTGGAAAGGCGGCTACGGGGGTTGTGGAGGACGGCGGTCACGATGCTGATGAAGCGCCGGGCCGAAAACGCCGGCAACGGCGAGTTCGCCGGTGACGTCGTTTCGGGGCTGATGAGAACGGCGGCTGGGGGCGTTTTCCGGCGACGAGGTTTGGTGTAGGAGGGGGTTTACGGGGGTGGCGAGGCGACTGACGGTGGCCTTTAGGGTTTAGGGTTTAGGGTTTTTTTTTTTTTTTTCTTCTTTGGCTGGGCTCAAAGAGCTGCATACGTACCCAAACGGGATCAAGCCATACGTAGTTCTGCAAAGTTCGGTACAAGTGCTGGAAAAGTAAAATAGAAAATATAAGAAATAAAAGCTAACGGAAGCGAAAGCACGGGAGGCCCGCCGCGTCAGCATGGATGAGGCCACGAGTCCTCGCAGGGATATCCGCCACTTTATTGCCCTCGCGGTAAATATGAGAGATCCTCCACTCGATGCTGCGAAGCTGTAGGCGCAGGTGGTGGAGACAAGGCTGGAGAGTCCAGTGTCCCGTCGAGGAGGAGATGAGAGAGATACTGCTGGCCGAGTCCGTCTCGATCCAGAGAGGGAGGAGGCCGCGTGCTACCGCCAGGTCCACGCCGGATCGAATCGCTTGCAATTCAGCCAAAGTGTTTGTCGTATCCGAGAGGGGAGCTTGGAATGCCACAAGTGGAGCGCCGGTGGCATCCCGAATGACGCCCGCGGCTCCAGCGGCGCCTGGATTCCCGAGCGATGCCCCATCAATATTGAGTTTGAACCAGCCTGGAGACGGGGCTTCCCAACGCACCATGACCGGCGGCCGAAGAACCGGAGGTGGGAGGCGAAGGCCGAGACTAGAGGCTAGGTGCACCTCCCCAGGCCAGTGCTGACGCTGAAGGAGGCCAGCACGGCCTAAGACCTGCAAATGAGAGTGAATACGCCAAATAATCCTGTCAGATGAAATCTGGATACCTCGATGTTTGGCGTCATTCCGTGCCGTCCAAAGAAACCAGAAGGCCAGAAGTGGAATATAAGTACGGATACTCCGCGCATGAGGGGAGGACAGACGCCAAGCAGAAACCATCAGGTGGGGCGCATGTGTCTGCGGAAGTTGGATACGAAATAGGTCGGCGAGATGGCGCCACACGCGCTGGGCAACCGCCGACGAAAAGAATAAGTGTTCAAACGTCTCGGATTCACTGCAGCACTGACAGCGAGAAACAATAGGGAGACCCAGCCTCCAAAGGGCCTCATCAACAGGTATCCGACGGCGAAATAAACGCCATAGGAATACCGACATCGTAGGCGTAAGGAGTGGCGACCAAAGGCAGCAGGAAAGCTAACTCCGAGCCCCCACTGTCCGGCTCATCTCCCAGGCTGAAGTAGTAGTAAAAATACCTGTGTCCGAAGCCTTTCATATCGGCTGGTCAGCATTCAGAAGATCGAAGGGAATCGCAGAGACCTGGTGAACAAGGGGTGTCGGGAGATAGGCCCGGAGACGCAATAAATCCCACGAACCGTGTAGCCACATCTCGCGCAC